ACATTGTGGCATCAAATCAAACAGGTTTTGAATGTCTACCTGAGGAATAACATTCCAGATTGCTTCTATCCAAACCCAAAGTTTGTCCATATTGGCTGCAGAATGAGCATTACCAGAGAGTTTCCAACCCACAAATTCCCAGACATGTTGAATGGGCAAACCAAGGAAGAAGCGATATCTGTTGTGCTGAGAAGTTGTCTAGAACATCCCCAACAATTTGGACAGGCATTGTCCTGTTGAAATATAGCCCCAGGAATGCATTGAAGGATACAACTTCAGACTCCACAACTTCCCGATGTAGCAGTTGGTGTTGAGAGTACCTGCAATTCTGAGCAGCTGAGATTGCACATGATATTCAATAGTATCCCATACCATCACACCTTATGATTGCCCAGTATGATGCTAAATAAGATAGACATTATAGAGGTGAAAGCCATATTCCAACACATACTTGGCCATCATTGTACTCTAAATTGAAGCGGGATTCATCAGAAATGATGATTAATTGCCAGTGGCTGTGTTGTTGAGCCCATTGTTGCCATAAGGGTCAATGGTTTTGTGAGAGCATCTGTCAGTGCTGTGTTTTTGTTACTAATTTATTTCTTTTTATAGGTTAGGTGTAATTCTCTGAATTTTTTGAATAATTATTTGAGAGAATTGTGTAACTTTTGTGTTGAGAATGAAATTGTAGATGCCGGGCATCTTAGTGTTACGTGATGAAATTTTTGGTTGTGAAGTTCTTACCAGGTCTTTAGTTCTTAAAATTTTATCAGAACAATGTTATCAATTTAAAGTGTTTTGTTTTCTAAGAAAATCTGTTGATTTTTTTGTCTTAAGAGGCATGATTCCTCTACTATAAAATTGGCCTTACTGCTAGTGTTGTTTGGGAGCATCTGTCCATGCTGTGTTTTCATTACTAATTTATTTCTTTCTATTGGTAAGCAGTTTGCTTTCTCTTTTGGTTGATTGCTTTATTTTTTATCTTGTTTATTGGTTTTGTATTATTTTTGACAGATGCTTCCAAACTTTAACTAATTATTATATCTGATTTTTAAACCTTAATACTTAAATTGTTACTTATATAAATTACTAGCTTACCCGTCGCGCATTGCTGCGATCTCAGAAGAAAGGAAATTCAAGCAAACTCGTTATGATAAAATTCAATTTACATTTTATTATTTTTATTGAAACTTATTATTATTATTAATTTTCATCGGGAAAACATTTCAAAGTATCGTTTCAATTCTATTTATTTATTGGAGTGCTTGTGGATACACGATATTTTTTGTTTTTCCGTCTGGTGCGTACACGAATAAATCGGAAGGCTTTTCGACACGAGCCGGCCACATACAATTGTCCATGCGAGAAACACGGATTCTCCAAATTTAGCCCACATACTCGCAGAGATTGTTAGAAGTGCGATATTCCCCATTTTTATATATATTTTTTAAATCCTTTATAATTTTGATTATTTAATTGCTCCTTCCTCTCTTTCTTGGCATGTTGTGAAATTTCTGATAGTTGGATAATAAACCGTTTTATTGTAATTTGTCTTTTTAAATTATTAGATGATATTAAAATTTGGAAAAGGGGGATCCCTAGATCTGTAAAATAGGCGAATTTCCTTCTACAACTTCGGTTGTTGTTCGGTATACAGTTAGTTTTAACAAAGTTTGAGCGAATACGTAATTAACAAAAAAAGTTGAAATGAAGTGATTAAACACACATTATTACGAATATCGTAAATAAATGTTCACAAATGCATATATGGAAATATTTTTTGAAGAGGGAAATGGTCTTCACAATTTGAAATCGATCGGGGACACTGTGCTCGAATGCTCGTGTAAACGCGCGCCATCTATCGTAGGATAAATGTACTATGCCAAAAACCTTCGCGGGAGTGTATTAAAAAACTTTCCGAAGTTTTATGGCAATCGTACTATGCCGGAGTATATTAAACAACTTCCCAAAGTTTCACGGCAATTGGATAAACGGTGTGGTAATGCATGAAGGACAGACACACACACACACATACATTCATTTTTATATATATAGATTATTGTAATAATAATGTATATAATTTTTGTTTGTGATCTTATGCTTATTGTATTTAAGTGTTTTGTTTTTGAGAGATGGTTTTGCTCCCCATCAAGGAGTGTATCCAGTATGCATATTAAACCTTAACTGGTTTTATGGGGGCCGCGCGGCCCCCACGCGTCATATTTTTACGATTTTCTAAAAATCTAAATATCGTGCGCAGCTGCCATTTTATGTAATCTCATTACGTCGCGATTCTTAGCGAGTGCCAAATGTTCGGCCCTGTAGCACTTACAAGGATGGAGCTACGTACCTTCTGGGGGCCGCGCAGCCCCCACAATACCAGTTATGTTGGTTTTTTGTGGAAATGTGTTTTTATGTTTTTTTTTTATTTTTACAATTATTTTGCAAAGATATCTCAATCTTGCATGAAAAATTCAAAATGACTACCAAAGAATCATTTGAACTGCTAATACATGATAATATTATACAAATTGCTAGATCAAGCCGAAATCTCCTGAAAAGAGTATGTTGTCATTTTGTGCTGGAAAAAAAGATGGTAAATATGCTACTAAGTGCAACAGTTGTTTGAAATTTATTTGCAAAGTGCATAGTACTACAAAAATACT